TTTCACTGAGATTGCCGCCACAATATTTCCTACGGCATTTTCATCTCGATTCGTTGAGAAATTAACCTTTCAGGACCCGCGAGAAAGGTCGCTCGAAAGAGAAACCGGACGCGAGCTATGCTTGTGTTAATCGAGACACATAGGTCGTTACTATTGGGTTGGCAACTAAGTAATCGCCGATTTGTTAAATGAAATAAAAATTTTTTTTTTCTTGGAACGAAGTTTAATCTGTAATGTATTTTCCATTTTGTTCGATGACCTTTTGCCATCTCTCCGACAACTTGAAAATTCCACGCTCGTAGAAAGTCTAATCCTTTTCGGCCAAAAACTGAGTTAAGCGAGATTTTACAGCGACATCGTCATTAAAAGTTTCACCACGAAGGGAGTTGTCCAGGGATCGAAATAAGTGGTAATCCGATGGCGCGAGATCAGGGCTATATGGTGGGTGTAACATCAATTCCCAACCAATATCCATGAATTTTTGCCGAGTGGACAAAGACGTGTGCGGCCTAGCATTGTCCTGCTGGAAAATGACACCTTTACGATTGACCAATTCTGGTCGCTTTTCCTTGACCGCTGCATTCAATTTGTCCAGTTGCTAACATTCACGGATAATAAAAAATAACATAATAATAATAATATCAATAATAATTTTATAATATAACATTTACGGATATCATAAAAATGGGAGTGAGAGACATCTACAACTGAAATCGGCAATTACTTAGTTGCCAACCCAATNAAAATGGGAGTGAGAGACATCTACAACTGAAATCGGCAATTACTTAGTTGCCAACCCAATAGATTGCGGATTTTATGCATTTATGCAGTAAACAAGCAGGCGAGACACGGAACAGCGAAAAGATTCGGTGACTTGCGAAATATGATTACATTGTTTTCAACCTGTTAGAGCTATCAAGAAAAGTATACACACTTTTATTTGACTTTGGTTTGTTGCGATTCAGAGAGAAAACTTTCATGTTGCAGAAAGATCCGTAATCTGGTCATCATTCACAACTATATTGAAGAAAATAAAATTTGGATAGAGTTAGGTCAATAGTGTAACGTGTGCCTACAAATTCGGCAAGATTGGTCCAACAAGTTGTTTCAAATAGATTCACAAAAGAGTTTCAAAACTTTCAACTGTTCAATTTCCCGGGAAATTCGTGGTTTCTCATTTTAATTAATTTCGATACTGATAATTTAATGAGTAATTTAAGTTACCAGCTAGTAACTGGATCCAATAGGTTCGAAGATATTTAAAACAAAATTGACTGGGAAGAATTTTAACGAACCTAGCTTCGACTGTTATAAAATCGTGAATGGTGCTCACCCCTAAAGACTTGAAAAATTATTGATCGTTTTTAATGCGTAAACATGCGGGAATAATTAAGAGTAAACAGCTATTTTCTAAATTTCCGATTTTCGTCGGCATTTCCGTCGTCTACTGTGCCCGGTAACTTTATTTCAATATAATGCGCGCAATATACTTTGACCCGATGGTGTGTGCACGATTTATGGCGACATATAACGGGAGCCTTCAATACACGTATAATCCTGATCGTTTCGCATTTATAGGTCTCTTCAGTTCAGCGGGAACATGATTAATATCGCTTAACGATCTATCCGTAATCACAATAGACGTAGCCCCGATGATCCCTAATCTTACAATTAGTCATTAAGTTCACCATGGTCCCACGTTGATTGAATAATCGACATTCCTTGTCAGCGGATGATTACTCGGAATATTGCACGGAAATATTTCCTCGAACGTGTCGGATTGACGGACCTTGATAGAAGCATAAAGTTTGGCTGGGTTATATCTAATTACCGATTAATTAGCGTCATTTAAATGCGATTGTTAAACTCGATGACGAATTGTTTCGTAATCGACGTTTGTTAACAATCGCAGTTTAGAATATAATTACCGGTGTGTAGTTGGCCGATCATAATTGGCCGGTTTTCGGTATCTGGTTTGTCGTGTGGTTTTTAATGCGCGTTCTAATTAGTCTATTACGTGGACAAAGATATGAAAAGGGTAAATCGAAGAATATACAGGGTGTCCAAAAAATGTCTCGCAATCCAAAAGTAGGGGATTCCTGAGGTCATTTAAAGCAACTTTTTCCTTAGCGAAAATGCAATCCGCGGCTTCGTTTACGAGCTATTAACGAAAAACAGTGACCAATCAGAGGCGAGATCATTTGGCGCGAGACGGCCGAGCCAACGAGCAGAACTGGGCTCCGTGCACTCGTTGGCTGGGCCGCCGCGCGTCAGTCGAGCTCGCCTCTTATTGGTCAGTGTTTTTCGTTAATAACTCGTAAACGAAGCCACGGAGAAAATTTTCGCAAAGGAAAAAGTTGCTTCAAATGACCTCAGGAATCTCCCATTTCCGGATTACGAGACATTTTCGGGACACCCTGTATATTCTTCATACATACATATATATGACGCAAGGCTCGAATAATCGTATCTCCTCTTCTCAAATTGTCCATCTTTTCGCGCAATCTGAGCGCGATTTAGGGAGAAATTACTGTATTTCGAATATCTATATACGTACAATCAAAATGAAGCGAACATGTAGAGAAATTCGGTCTTAATAAAAACGATTAAAATCTTGTCAGCTTAACTGGAATACGAGCGAAGTTCTCAACTCTATTTAATCTTGGAAATGCGTCTTTTTATCTCGACAAATTATGTCGCCGCACTATACAAGCGACAAGCTCAATCTATTGACCAGTTCTCCACCTGGTTTCACGTCAATCTTTAAAGAAAACTCGCTAACTTTGTTTCCTGTTTACCTCGAAACTTTATGTATTTGTTACCCAAAGTAGTACAAAAATAAAATTTATTCACCGGAGTTCCTAAACAGGCAAGTTAATCCTAGAAGAACTACGAACGGCCGGGGGGGGGGGGGGGGGTT